GTTTTAAAGTCAGCAAAACAGTTTTACACAACCTGTTCTTAGTGTCAGTTTGCGGTCGACCGCCACGGTCGACCGCTATGAGTTCAGAAACTCATTATATGTTTTTATGGCTCGCGATCGACCGTAGCGGTCGACCGTACGTAGTCCAGAGACTTTCGCGGTCGAGTCGACCGCTTGTTGTCCAGAGCCTTTTTACGTTTCTTTGTTGCTCGCGGTCGACAACCGTGGTCGGCCACCGTACTGTCTTTTCAGACTCCAACGGCTATTTTCTACAATAGATGTTTGGGGATTTTTTGGTCTTTTGTTTGGGGTTTTTGGATGAGGTCTTTGGAGGCTATAAATACCCCATTGATCTCAGTTCTCAATATAACCCAAGAGAATGTTTTAAAGAGTTTTAAAAGAGTTTAAGATTGTTTTAAGTTTGTTTAAGGGTTTGGTTTATAAAGAAAGTTTTACAAGAACTTGAGGAGATTATCAATTGTATTTTGGGCATCCAATCCATCTCTCTCTCTTGTTATCTAGAGAAGTTTTCCTAAACTCAACTCTAGCTTTTATTTATAATTATTTGTTGATTATCATTTCTATTAAGCTAGAATTATATTGAGTTTAATTTTGATTTATATCTCATTGTTACACACACCCACTTGAGCTTATTGTATTTTCATATATAGTATATTTGGGTTGGTGAGAGTTGTAACATTGAGTGTGAGCTTTCATTGTGTTCTCATCCATAGTAGAGAACAAACATTTATTGTATTGAGCCTTATTGTGAGATCACTTTGTAATACACTTGTACACCGAGAGAAGTGAGTGGCGAGAGTCAGGGATCGTCCCAAGAGGAGTGGCGTCGGTTGACGAACCTAGGAAGAGGTTGTAACCGAGCACTTGAGGGAGACACGTCTAGTTCAACACTTGAGAGGGTGTAGAGTAGGATTGCAAGAGTGGTGATTGTAAAATTTTCGGTTAGCTAGAAAACCGAGTGTGAGGTGTAAACGTTGTTCGGGTAAGCGTAGAAAACCCGGTTGTGATAGTGGATTTCTCCCCGGGAGTGGGGAGCGGAGACGTAGGACGGAAGGTCCGAACTCCGTAATCATTTGAGTGTGTTTGAGTTTGTCATTGGTGCATTTGCTTATGCATTTATCTTATATCGCTTTTGCCTATTACTCTTGTTTATTTTGCGCTATCACATTTGTAGTTTGATTATATCACCCTTGTGTTAGTTTATATATTATTGCATATATCTTTATCATATAGGATATATCTTATTGTTCATATTGCTTATCCTAGCTCATAAATCTTGTTGTAGTTCATACTTGCTAGGATAACTTGTTAATTAATTTTAATTGGCATAAAATCGGATTAGATTAGCATAAGACCCTAATCACCCCCCCCCCTCTAGGGTCTAACAGTCTTTTGTTTGATCATATTCCTCATTATGCATCTTGCCTCTTTTATGAAACTTAAATGTTGTATGAGGGACCAATTATGGATTGTACTCAATTAAGTTATGTTGACAGCTTATCTACTAGGTTTGCTTTATATGCTACCTATGTGTTCTTTGCTTTATAAAGACTTTTCCTGATCTTTTTGTTGCTCAATTCTCTCATTCTGAAGCCTCAATTCAGGTTGAAAGTGCAAAAAAATCCCTGAAAGTTTGCAGAAAACCCCCTAAAATTTTGCAGAAAGCCCCCTGCAAGTTTGCAAAAAACCCCCTGAAAGTTTGCCAGTAGATCCCTGAAACTTATATATATATACAAGTATCATAACTAAATGGGTTATTGGGTCACACATGAACCACCCATTTAGTAAATGGGTGGATGAGAAGTGAACCATTTAGCAAATGCTAAATGGATCATAAATGGTCAAGTGGTCATAAATGTGACCACCCATTTATGACCCAACCAAAACCACCCATTTGACATCCCTTTCCTGTGCTTTTACAGCCAAACCCAACTACATATATTTTCTAGCACTAACTAGGAGTTGAAGTTAATGAAATAATCATGAAACAAAGTGGTCTAGGAAGAGAGATGTGAAGAGGAGAGATAAGGGGTTATAGGTTACGGTTAGGATTGCTGGAGAGTTTTGATTAATGGGGCCTTGGATGTTAGGATGTGTGGTCAGAGATGACATTTGAGTTGATATTTGTAGTGAGAGGTTGATGACAGTAGTGGGTGGTAGACAACCGATGTTCAACATAGAAGATAGGCAAAAAAAGAAATGTTTTTTAAATTTAAATTAGTCTAACAAACGCAGGCATGATAAAGAAACAAGAGGGTTAGTTGAAAATAGTGGAACGTGATGGCTGGTTAGATTTTTTCAAGTTTGAACATGACTTTTTTAAGTTTCTGAAATTTTCCAGTTTTTATTTCCCTGTCCTATGAGTTTTAAAGGAGTATAATTTATGAGCTATTTTTTTTTTCTAAATGTGACGTGGAAACTTTGTGATCCTATGGCTAGGGTCTCATTTGGTATGCGAGAATAAGTGTGAATGGAATGATAATTTTTACTGTGAATTTTTTTGTACTAAACAAAATCTCTTTTTAAAAGCTAGAAGCACTAGTAGAAAAACGAGCAACCTAGACGGAAATATCCGTCTAGATTGCTCCATTTCCCGTCTAGGTTGGTACACCTAGACGATATTTCGTCTAGTTTGCTCCGTTTAGTCTAAGTACATCTAGGTTGCGGTAGGCTATACGAAATTCCGTCTAGGTTGATCAACCTAGACGGACATCAGCCTAGACGGAAGTAAAAAATCTATCTAGGCTGGCAACCTAGACGGCAGCCTAGACGGAATTCCGTCTAGGGTGGCAACCTAGATGGATTTTCGTCTAGGATGCTACTGTTCCTACAGTAGTAACCTAGACGGATATCCGTCTAGGTTGTACCGCTACAATAGTTTTTTTTATAGAATCTACGTTCCATGCTATATAATATCCAACACCAAATCATGTTCATATTCAACCCAATCTAATTATATTTCAATATCAAATACAAATATATTCAAATAATACATTCACCAAAATACTAGAGCGTAACATAAATTATTAACATAGACAATAACTAATTTTTACACGTCAAGGATTTATACAATGAAAGAGTTCACGAAAGCCATGAGAAAGGTAAATTTACAGATGTGAAGAGAAGTAGAGACAAAGTAGTATTATTCCCCATCAGAATCAAAGAAACCGACATCCTTCATCTCAGAGTAGTATACATTCATCCTTCATCTCAGGGTAGTATACATTCTCTAGACGCATGTCCTCCTCCTGTATCAATAGAGGATAAAAAAATCCAAATAAAAAACAAAAATTCCAATAGAACAAACCAATGGAATATAAAATATAAGCAAGCATAAATAGGAGAGAACAAAAGCTTCTCACAATTCACAAATGTCAAACGCCATATCTAAAATATAATGAAATGTATTATAATAAGCCAATGTCATTAATTTAATTCACTACTGAGGCATGCAATAGGCCATGGAGGTCATCGTCAAGTCCATTGAGTATTTTGAGGGTGAAATGATTTATGAGTTGTAGAACTTGATTGAAGAAACATGGATTGATTTGGGTCTTAACAATATACAACCTGAATGCAATTGTAGTTGGTTATAGGTTATCTTGTAAATGCTTTATGCTTGTGATATAGAGCATAAAAGAATGCAATCAACACTGGTTTACTATGTACTAAGATTCACTTTCAATTGATGAATGAGCATTAAAATCGATGATCAATATGGACATTAACGTAACAAACGAAATGTGGCATTAACGTTGATAGTTAAAATGGAAATTGACGCTCACAAACAAAATTCGGCATCAAAGTTGATACTTAGTGTAGGCATATAAAATAGCTTATAGGTCCCCTAGCATAGCTCGGCACAAACCGACGAACCAACGAGGCGACGAGATCGACGAATCGCACGGAAGCGACGGAATGCATCCATACGCGTTCGGAATCAAGCCAAGTGTTAAGGAATCAACGAGTCATCCAACCGAGAACAGACTCGGACGAATCACGATCGAATCAAGATCAGTTTTGGACTCAAACTCAGAAGCGGATTTACTGCCAAATCAGGAATCCGACTTACTGCCAAATCAGATCAACCAATCAGAGTCTCAATCAACCGAATCACGGACAAAACCGGAAAACGGACACAACTCAAAAACTCGGAAAACCCACACCTAAGGGGGCTCGGCTTAAGCCGAGCCACCCATAGGTGGCTCAGCCAAGGCCGAGCCACCCATGGGTGGCTCGGCACAGTGCCGGCCACCTATGGGTGGCTGACATTTCTCTGTGCGCGGGCACAGTCTTGAGAGCCTATAAATAGGCCTACGACGGTGGCCGACAGTGGCCGACATGTCTCTGTGCGCGGGCACAGTTCAGAAAGCCTATAAATAGGCCAGGCAATGTTCATTTTCAGAGGTTGGAAATTTTGGAGAGGCGAAGCCCTGCTGAAGAAGAGTGAACTCAGAGCTTTGAAGACTTGAAGACTTGAAGACTTGCACGTACAGATCTGATCCTCGGCGAGCACCCGCATCAGAAAAGGCAGGATTTCGAGAGGAGACAAAGAACAGATCTGAGATCTACACGATATCACACTCCGGATCTAAGCTTGGTCTTAGATCCCGAGATCTGAGCGATTATTCCCTTGGTGGACTAATCCCTCCCGGCTATTATTCCCTTCGTGGAATAATACCCGTATAATCGTGTAGATCCGACCGGATCTAGATCGCGCGGTGGTCCACGGCAAACAACCCCGGCGCAGGCAAAGAACCCACACAAGCGAGCGGCCGCAAAACAGGAGCTCGCGATTTGTTCACAAGAGGAAAGTTGTAATTTTTACTTTTTTTCTTTGATTTAGTTGTAACCGGATCTATAAAAGACCGGATCTTTGTAATCCAAGATGACAATTATCTCATTAATGAAGAAAGATACAGTTTTCCACGCGAACACTGACATGTTAATTGCTATAATAAGTGGTGACTGGTAAGATAAGTGTTATGATTTTTTTTTTTTTTTTTGAGAAAAATAAGTGTTATGATTGTAGACTTGTGTTCGTATCTAGGATTCCAGATTTATGTGCCTGTTTAGTGTTCTGATGTAGTTGGTTATGGTCCAAATCCTCACACGAAAGGACTGCAATTTGAGTTAGGTACCCAATGAGTTTGTTTCAAAGTATAACCATTTTGTAGAAGAAAAAAATGTATGTCAAAAGCATAATTTACGGAATGAAAAATATTGGAACTGAGCATTTTGCTCTTTAATGTTTCTCTTTTGTGGTTTTCATTTGAAATTTTCTATTTAAAGGAAGTATGATTATGATCAGCATACAATTGACTCAATGAGCAATCCAAGCCCAATTTGTAACTAAAGGGTGTTGCTTCTCTAAATTTGTTGCTGTTGTTGTTTTTACTACCAACAGGTTGCAGAATACCTTGTTCCCTCTATCAGATCGGTCCCTAGCAGTCAGTCCATGAAGCCAACCTACATAAAATTCTTAACAGGCCTTAAGGCGTACTCCCAGATTTTTTCAGTTAATATCCAAAACTGATATGTTTTTTTTCCCTTTAGTGAATATGCTGAGCTTATGTTAACTATTATCTTCTCATTTTCTTGTACAGAGAATTGCTTTTGGTGCAAGGAGGAATAGATACGTTATTGAAGATTGAATGGCTTATTCGCTTTCGTGAGTTTTTATTCTTAAAATTTTTTCTTCCACAATGGAAGTTATTCCTTCTACTTTAACATGTGGTTAGTTCTTAATTGTTGAATATTTTTTTCTTTCTTATTCATTTATTTATGCATTTTCAATTTTCATAGGGGATTAGGAAAGAACAACGTTCTTTCTGCAATGAAGAGTGCGTTGTGGTTCAGCACAAGTTCCATGAACTGTGTGGGTCCAAATGCAAAATCAACTCTATTTTTAATCCTCCTTTCTTTGTGAAACTCATCTGCAGGTATGGGAAAAGCTTTTGTGTCTGCAAAGGCTTTTTCATTCTTCTCATGTTAGGGCCGCACTGGTAAATTAATAATAATGCCTCTTCTTTTTTTCCTTTTTTTTCTTTTGGTTGAGCAACTACTGGTAAAATAATTTCATAAACAATAATATTGAGGTTGACACCAAATTATTTTTTGAAGAACAGTTACAGTATTCAGATTTGCGTTTACTAGAAAATAATGATTGGTTGAGAACATAGGGTTCCATATGCATTTTTTTAATTCTTAAATACAGAAAGCATCTCAGTACTACACAAATTGATTAATGAGGTTTATATGGGATCCTGATATATAGTATTGCCACTTGTTCTCAAAACTCGACTTGAATTTGGTTCTTGGGTTGAATTTTCAGGTGAAATCTTGGTGCAAAATGGAAGCCTTCACTGCCTATGAAGTACTGTCTCAATGCAACTGCATCAAGGTAGTCCCCGAGAGAATTTCAGTGTTCGAAAGGCTCGGCACCGAAACGCCAAAACCAAGGTATAGGCGTTTCCGGCAAAGAAGAACGGTGGTTAAAGACGGAGAATTTCCGAGGGTCACCGCCAACATGACCAGCAAAGAGACATCGACACAGGTTAATCTCAAGTCGTTTCTGGAAGCATCCCGGCGTGTAACCCGTCTGCAGTCCGGAGCCATCGCACGAGGAACTTATGGTAGGGTTCGGACAAGATTGCCTTCGGAAGATGAAGAATCGGATTCCTGCTCTGCTGTCGCATCGGACAATACAGTGTCCAGCGAAGGACAACCCCGCGAGTCATTTATGATAAGCGCGGAAGAAATGGCCAAGATGCTTGAAGACGCTTTGGCTAAGCAGAAAGAAAGTTTCAAATTCGAGATGGAGATGGCCATGCAGCAGATGAGAGAGATGCATGAGCAGCAAATCCATGCATTCAGGAACCAGCAAAGTGAATCGAACCGCCGTAACCAGATTATTCAGGAAAAGGAGCACGCAGATAGGGATGAAGCTCACAATGCCAATAACCCTCCCGTCAATGCAGGGGGTGGTAACGAGGATGCCAACGAAGATACAAGTGAAGACTTGAAGATCAAAGATCTCGAGAGCAAAATCAACACATTGATCTCCGCTCAAGAGGTGAAGAAGACGGGCATTCCTTGTCCATACCCACGAGAATGGGAATCAATCCCCTATCCGGCGAAGTTTAGTCTGATTAACTTTACGCCGTTTGATGGGAAGGGTTCCCCCACTCAGCATTTGATTTATTTCAAATCGCACCTGGGTATTATTTCCGGCAATGAGCCTCTGATGGTGCGGTCATTCGTCGGCACTCTTCGCGGAGCCGCCTTCGATTGGTATCGCCGCCTCAAGCCAGGCAGCGTAAACAGCTGGGATGACATGGAGACCAAGTTCCTGGCCAACTTCTTCGACGACGACACCGAGATATCTATCGGATCATTGCTCGATGAGAAGCAGAAGGACGGGGAGTTAGTCGACACCTTCGTCAAGAGGTTCCGGAACAAAGCGATGAATTGTCGGGACCCGATCACCGAGGAATTCATTCACCAGACCTGCCATTATAATCTGTCCTTAGACGTATTGGAAGCAATGGGGACAGCACCGTCTGACACTTGGAAGGATCTGAAGGTTCGAGGGGAGCAGGCTGAGCGATTCCTTAGAAGGAAGAAGGCCGAAAGGAACCGACCGACGGTTAATCCGCTGGACTCAAACTTCGCCTCTCGTGGTAAGGGCAAGGCACCTGCAGCTGCTGGTGGTGCTAATCAAGCGTCACAACAGCAATCCCGAAGGCAGCAAAAGACTTCGGGTCCGAGACTCCAAAAAGAGTACTCTTTCAAGGACGAAGACGTTCCAGCCATCTTCGAATCCCTCCTTGAAGGTAACAAGATCAAGCTACCACCTATCACAAATCAGGAGGAAGCTGACAACACTACGGACCCAAAGTACTGTGCATACCACAGGAGGGTCGTTCATCCCACCAAGGATTGCTTTACTCTCAAGAATAGCATTCAGACCTTGGTTGAAGCCGGCGTCATAACGCTAAGGTAAGCCAAATAAGAACGGCAAAACTCCAAAGAGTATACGAGTATAAACTGTTTCTCAATCCTCCGACCGGTATAAGAGGTTAAACTACTCCCTGATACTCCAATAGGTATATGAGTCTAAACTGTTTCCCCACTTTTGACGGGAAGTTCCTGGAGAATATTAAGCTAATATTCTTCAGGATAACCCGGTTAGGTAATTGATAATAATGTCCGAACCAGTTCCGCAGACGAAACTGGGGGTGGACGATTTATGTAACGGGAAGTTCCCAAAACCACAGCAATGTAATGAATAAGAACTCCCATTCAAATTCTCACCGTGTCTGTGCACTCAACACCCTCTCTGTTAGAGTCTCGACATAAAATTCCCAATTGGTCAAACCTTCCTACAGTTAGGACCACAACCAAAACCTCCTCTCGATTCCTCCAATGAACGAGAGGTCCACTTTCAAATCGAGTGATCAAACCTTCCTACAGTTAGGGTCACCTCAAACTCCTGTTTGGCCAAACCTTCCTACAGTTAGGGTCAAAACCATAATTCACTCTCGATAAAAGAGAAATTCATCTTTAGTTCGGTAATCAAACCTTCCGACAGTTAGGGTTATCCGAATCTTTTCGATTCTCGGAGTGGAGATCCCACTCTCAGTTTCACCTTTCCGGATTCTGGGGGTGGAGATCCCACCTCGAGTCTCCTTTCCAGTTGAAGATAGAATATAAAATTCTTCTTCTTCATTGTCGGGAGATAGAATATAAAATTCTTCCTCTCCCATTTCGGGTTCGTCTTTGCCCCAAGAGAAGACACCACCTTTTTCAAATCCCAAAATCTGTGCCTCACAGGTACAGGGAATTTTATCCCGAATCCTAAGTAGGGATAAGTCAACGCCTAACACGCGTTGCCGGTTTAGTCTTGTTCCGTAGAAAAAAGACACCAGAGCTCGATTCTGGGGTATTCTATCCTGAAACCTAAGCAAGGATAAGTCTGCGCCTAACCCGCGCTGCCGGTTAGTTCTTAACCGTTGAAAAGAACATCCGTCCACATATTCAACATTGTGGCAGGTTGTTATTAATAACACCAAAATCCATGCCTTACACGCATGGGGAATTTCATCCTGAATCCTAAGAAAGGATATGCCGACGCCTAACACGCGTCGCCGGTTTAGTCTTTTACCGATTGAAAAAGACACCAGAATACCAGTCTGGGGTATTTTTATCCCGAAGCCTAAGTAGGGATAAGTCAACGTCTAATACACGTTGCCGGGTAGCCTATTCCCGTAACAATGGCGAAGCCTATGTATTCAACATCATAGCACAAAGTCTCAGAGAATTCACTCTCTTAGCACAACGTTACATGCGGAACGGATTTAGACAATCCGCATGCTAGCCCGACTCAAACGGTAGTCGGTAAAGGCTAATCAAACCCGTTGAAGGCTGGGGGTTAGCCAAAAACCCTAAAGTCAACGCCTAACACGCGTCGCCGGGTAGTCTATTCCCGTGAGAAAGACGAAGTCTACGTATTCAATATCGTAGCACTAAAAGGGTTAACTCTTTTAGCTTAACGTCACATGCGGAACGGACTTGAACAATCCGCATGCTAGCCCGACTCAAACGGTAGTCGGTAAAGGCTCATCAAACCCGTTAATGGCTGAGGGTTTGCCAAAAATCCTATAAATACGAAAGTCACTGACGCATCAGCTCCATTAGTTGGTCTTGTGACTTGAGCATCCAACGACGTTCGAAACCCTAAGGTCAACGCCGGACAACGCGTAACCCTAGGTCAACGCCAGTCAACGCGTTGCGAGCAAAAATTCAACGTACGACGTTCGAAACCCTAGGGTCAACGCCGGTCAACGCATAACCCTAGGTCAACGCCAGTCAACGCGTTGCGAGCAAAAATTCAACGTACGACGTTCAAAACCCTAAGGTCAACGCCGGACAACGCGTGACCCTAGGTCAACGCCTATCAATGCGTTGCAATGAAAGAACTAACACTCCGAAGAGTATATGAGTATAAACTGCTCCTCAATCCTCCAACAGTGCATGAGGTTAAACTGCTTCTTAAATACTCCAATAAGGTATATGAGTATAAACTGTTCCCTAATTTTTTGAGAAGTTCCTGGAGAATGTTTTTCTTAAGGATAACTCAACAATACGACGCCGGACAACGCGTTGCAGATAAAGACTCGACGCCAACAATCGATGGTCAGCTAAATCAGGAACCGACTTCAAAGTTCAAAATTCCGACAACGGTCAGACAATAAATGCAGCACCGAAACTCTCTCAAGCATTCGACAAAGCACCGGATAGCCTGGAGAATTAAAGGAATCAAGAACGGAAGTCATTCCAAGGTCCCATTACACCGACTGAAGGTTGGGACAAGCATATCCAAAGTATTCCAGACTCTTCTATAAAAGAACGAGACTGAAATACTTTGGAGGGGGTATCTGTAGGCATATAAAATTGCTTATAGGTCCCTTAGCTCAGCTCGGCACAAACCGACAAACCAACGAGGCAACGAGATTGACTAATCGCACGCAAGCGACTCAGAACTTAACAAGATTCAAGCTTTGGGACTTCGAGGACTTGCACATCCAGATCTGGTGCTCGACGATCATCAACGCCAAATAAGGCTGGAGTTCGAGAGGACCGGATCTCAGATCTACGTTGCTACACTCCGGATCTAAGCTTGGTCTTAGATCCCGAGACTTGGACGATTGTTTCCTTGGTGAAACAATCCTCCCCGGCTATTATTTCCTTGGTAAAATAATACCCGTTGTACTGCGTAGATCCGACCGGATCTAGATCGCGCGGTGGTCCACGGCAAACAACCCCGGCGCAGGCAAAGAACCCACAAAGCGAGCGACCGCAAAACAGGAGCTCGTGATTCGTTCGACAAACAAGGAAACAAAGTTGTAATTTTCATTTCTTTTCAATTTGATTTTCGTTGTAACCGGATCTTATAAAAAGACCGGATCTTTGTAATCGATAGACTATTACAAGAGTGTACAATGGAATCATTAATGAAGAAAGCAACAATTTTTCCCGCGAACACTTAGAACGGGTAAAAACACCCACAAAATGAATTCAGCATTAACATGGATACTCAAAGGAGTACAGGGAGTACATGTGACTATATTGCTAGACTTATAAGGTGTTGACCAGAACAGGTGGGTATTCATATATTATAGACACAAATTCTACCATGTGGCCTCTAAAGTCAACATATGTTAATATAATCATACTCAACTAACAAGCATAAGTATCTTATTCTGACCAAATAACACAGACGATACCTCATATCAAGAATTTTGCCTAAACTCGACCTCAAAAAAATGAGAAATAACCAAATAAAATAAAACCTTTCACCTAGGTGTGGGTTTC